TGAGGAACTTGGTCGAAGCCCCTGGAGTTACATTCATATAAAGTATTAAGAAATTGTGTAAAATTCTCATTTTTAAATATTTAACTTATTCTTCCTCTGAAGCATAAGCTGTAGAAATAATTAATTTCAGAATGTTACATAGGCCAATATGCACTCACATCCCTGGAGTTAGAGCTTCTATAGGGATCTTTGACCTGTTCAGACAGGTAGATTTTTTTTTCTCAATTCCTCACACTTCTTTGATTTGCCTTTTTTCCCCTTTTACTTTAAATTTTCTTTGCTTTTCCCCATGCCCTTTTATGCAGAAATAGAGACTGAAAAAGAGAACAAAAGAGAAGAACTATAATAATAGAAAAACAGGGAAATTAAAAATATGCAAACTGAAGAAATGAAAAAGATATCAAATACTTACTAAAGGGTTTTAGATGAGAAAATAGTCACTTCAAAATCTAAGAACTGAATCTAAACTAATTCCAAAATGTTGCTTTCCCTCGGTCAGTTCTGGACAAGTCCAAGCAGTAGTCACTGATGGGAATGAAAATGACCTAAGCAGGAATATCTTACTCTTTTGCATTCATAAACCTAAAAACTTCGCTGGCATTTGTGTTTTACCTCACAACTGTGTTTTTCTGGAGAGCCGTGGGCTTTTCATGAGCCTCACACAGCCTCAACGCACAGGCAGCCCTCTCTGGGGAGCTATAGAAAGCATCCCGGAATTATCAGTAGAAAGTGTCAATAAATTATCAATCCACAGATTGAATAATCTTTTATTTATCTTGAATCAAGTGAGACTGAGGAGCCGGTGACCAGACTGAGTCAAGCCTCACACAGCAGCTGCTGATGTCTTATCTAGACAGTTATTTCGGGTGTTCTGACTCACCTCCTGAAAGTTCTTGCTTCACGGTGGCTATAGAGGGAAATGGGGATTCTAAATTTAGGCACCGTGGACATAGCTGAAGGGAAATGGTGTGCCAGTCCTGCAGGATATGGCATCTCAGGAAAAAGAAACGATGATTTAGCCATGATGTACAGCACCAGAGGAGGGAGGTTGGTGCAGGGAGGAGGAGATGCTGAGCATGGAGGGGCTGGAACCTCTGGCCCTGAGGCAAATGTCAGGTTCTGGGGACTTTCCACCTTCACTCTCCTCGGAAGCACCTGTATTTCATAACATGCCATGCTGTCCTGCTGTGGTCTCTAACCCCCGCTACCCCAAACTTATGAGCTCGTGCGATTAGTACTGAAAAATTGGGAATTTAAACCACTTCATCTGAGCTCCCCTGGGCAGGGAGCGGCTACAGAATGTGCTCTTCCAAAACATTTTGGCAAGACTCTGAATCCTCACAGTCCATCATACTTTCATAAGCTGAGGCTGGAAGAGGTTTTGAGGTCACTGAGTGCAGTGCCTGCTGTCACAAGTGTTGCTTGTCATAATTTCTATTTTACAGTTATCCCTCCTACAGAAGCTGCCTTTGCTTTGAGATTTTCCCTTGCTATTGCAACAAACACAAGTTTTATCACTTCCAGTTTTTTCAGACCTATCAGTAAGGCCCAGTTAGAGGTCTCAGAAAGAAAAGTCTTCTTATTTATTTTGCTTCTTCATTAGTTAGTTGTGTTAAATGCTTCCTTTCTTACTTTAACTTCAGGATAGGGTGCTTGAAAAAAAATCAAGATGCTTGTAATTCTTCTATCTAATAGCATTATGAGGAACAATAATATTAATTTAAGAGGATGAGCAATTGGCTGAGGCTTTTGCAGAACACCGTTTGCTCTCCAAAAGAATGTGAGTGCATAAGAGGTAGTCACCTTGCAGAAGAAAATCAATGCACTGTTGATCCACATGGAATCTTTAAAACAGGACTGCTCTGAATTTCTCCTTCAGTGACTGTGATATTTCCTCCCTGTGGGAAGTGCTGAAGGAAATAAAGTGAAACAAAACCAAAAGTGAGGTTTCAAGTCCCTCAGCAAGCACTTGTGCAGCCTAAATAATGAATCTGTGACAGATAAGCCGTGACCTAATTTTCAGATCCGAGATTCGAGGGCTTTGGATTCAGGCCAATTTCAAGTGAAGTCTAATTGTAATCCTGATTTCAAAGTCTTCATAGCTTTGGTGAAGTTCAGATCTAACTCTGTTATCTCTGATATTAAGCTTGATCTGATTTTGGTTTGCTGCCCCCGGGTGAGCTTGGATGGAAGTGTATTGCACTGACTTGACTTCTCTATAAATCCCTATTAAAATTTTCTATAGCAGTTAACAACCAGAATTAAGTCGATAATGCACATTTTCTCCTATTAACCAAGATTATGAATAATGTTAGATATTAACACCCATAGATGCTCCTTAGCCAGGCAGAAAATAGTTCAAGAGGGCAACGTTTTTGGTGTCTGAGGAGGACCAAGAAACCTCGACAGAGCAGACTTGTTTGTGAGATTGCTGAAGCTTCCTCTTTCTGGTCAAGTTAGCGATAGAACATTTGCACGTTTTCCCCATCTGAGGACAAGTTTTCCAAGTTTCTCCGTGACTTCGATTGTTTTGGTAGTCTCCCCCTATTCCTCATGGACTGAGCCCAGTGGTGGGGTCTGTGGGTCTGAGGTGCTTCCTCAGGAGCACGAGGACCTTCCTGCAGAAAAGTTCATCTGCTGCAAACAACGAGACTGAGCCTGTGGGAAACAGATTGTTCCCCAAAGTGCGTTGTTGTTGATGTTGCTTGAAGGCACACGACATTTTGTGAAGGATCAGCCTGGGTTTGGCTTGGGTTTGGGGTTTTTTTGTGGTTTTTTTTTGGTACAGGATGGTTGTCAAAAATGACCTGCTTCAAAAAAATTAACAAATAAGAGAAGGAAAAACAATGAAACTGGGAAGCGACGTGGAGTCTGCCAGAAAGCGTTGAGGCTGCTGCTTGGCTCAAGGCCTTGTTTGAGTGAAGGCTATTTAACATTTTCATAACTGACGGCAAAATTGCGCACTATTAATGGGCTCTCTTTAGGGCTATAATTTATAGCAGAGTAGAGGCCAGACTGCTTTATCCTGCAGTATTAAAAAGCCTGAGGCTGAGAAGCTTAGCGCTGCTTTGTCAGGATTTTCTCCATCTGGCAAAATAAGAGAATAAAATCATCCTACGCAGAGAGCTTCTTTAATTTTGTAAAGAATGGTCTTTCTTCTTCAATTCAAAGCCATCAGGAAAAGAGGAGTTTGTCAGAATGTGTGAGTAAAGGGGTATTTTCTTTCATTAGCTGCCTTTTCTATATGCAGGAGCTATGATTCCTGACCACCAGGCTTGCTTAAACTTCTCTGGGCATTAGTTCTGTGTGTTGAGGTGAAGATAGATAGAGGTAAAAATCCCTATTCAGATAGATTTATAAGGTCCAGAGGGGTGAGGAGATGCCAGTGAAAGTTACAATGTTATAGGCATGACAAGCTGACTCTCATAAAAATAATAATAATTAATTTTTTTTAAGGGAAAAAGAAAAGTAAATAATAGAAATCAGGGAGAGAAAGTTTATCAAAACAGAAAGTAGGTATCTCTACAATGAATCATAGGAATTGCTCATGACTCTTTGAAAGTTTCTTGTGTATTTTGAAGTCACCTGTTCAGTCGGATGAAACCTCACCAGTAGGTACCTTTGGCTTTTGGCGATGTAGCAAAAGTAACAAATTACTACTATTATGAGTATTTTGAGTGTTGATACGGACAGTTCACTAAGCTCTGGTCATGTAACGGAAAGAAAGTACAGGTATGCAAGGGGAAAAACTCAAATACAGTGAAAATAGATGTCAGTAGGATCTCAGGGGTGAAAGGAAAATAAGAAAGAAGGAACAGGTACCAGTTTGTATTACTTTTTGGTCACTTCCCACACTGTAAGAATTGATTTTCAAATAAATGCCGTTATTACTGCAACTCATAAAACAAGAGGGCCTGAGATTACTGTTTTTATCCTTCATTATCTAAGATTTCCAGTAAGCCAAAGAAGCTCAAGTAACATCTATCTTCTGGACTGCCCAAACACCACAGCTCTCAGCCTAGGGCAAGGTCTGAAAATGTCGTTGGAAGTGTCCGGACCTCAGTTCTAAATCTTGGATTTTCAGAAAGTGCAGGTGTTCAGTGTGCATTTACACACCAGTGTGGTCTGGTTTCATGCAGGGTACTGTCCAACAGGTAGGGCAGGATTTGAGGAAAATGTATCGTAATGAACTTTGTCATGTGGCTACTTTTGCGACTAGATTCCTATTTTAATGTTTGTTATAAAATGTCCAGAAGCCCCAGGCGAGGACAGAAGCTGAGCTCTGTGTGTATATAAAGTCTCTGACTCAAAGAGCTTAATATTTAAATAGAAAAGATGGATAAATAGTGGAAAGGAAGACACTTGGAAGTAAATTGCATAAAGTCCATAGCAGAATGCAGCACAGAAATACCCTGTAAGTCCCACATCTCTTTGACCTGCCCCAGAGTTTTAGCTACTAGCCTGACAGTTAACGATTTCATCTTTTTTTCTTTCGTACGATCTATCTGTCAAGCTGCTCCAGAGCTGTGGTTGCATGCTCCAGTTGTAAAGAAAGCCTTGATTACAAGCTTTGACTGTTAGGTTTTTCAAAAGTCTATGTCAGAATACTATTCCATAAAATTCAGTTAAAAGGATTTCCCCATCTTCTGAGCACAGGCACCTTGCCGGTGGTCCATTAGCCTAACAGTCTTGATATTGCATATTCTTCCCATAATCTGCTTATGTTTTAATCTGTGTTTACACAGTACTTTTTTGAGGCACTGTTGTCAGATCTGTGGGTTATGTGCTGGATAGTCCAACAACAAGCCTTCCCTGAGGCAAACCAGAGGAATCTGTCAGGTGTGGGTCTTGCAGTGGTTTAGCTTTTGTTCTGGGACGCTCACAAAATTCCTTGTTTACCCTGGCAATGAGGTAAGATAGGGAATTTAAAAAAGGATGTTGCCTAATAAAAGCAGGTTGCTGGTGTTCAGAGAAAGAGAAGTCTGGGCAGCAGTGGGAAGTCAGAGAGCTGCTGGCATTTCATCATACCTCAAGACCCCGAGAACGTTTTCATTGGGAAGAGATTTTTCATTCAAGAAATTAGGATGATTGAGTGTTACTGATACTCGGTCCATCACGTTCAGGTATGTCAAATGGAGCTGGAACAAGGTCTTGAAAGTCTTTTCCTGGCAGGTTTCTGATGCACACCATGTGGATAACGTTTGCCTGCTGACTCGGTCGTTCACAAGGATCTCTATCTTGAGGTCGGTGGGATTTTTTGAGCAGTAGGAGAAACGAAAGTTCAAGTGGCAATAGATCAAGTAGAGGCCTGGTTCATTTATCACCAGCTCTTCGCTCTTGCACTGGATGTCCTTACAAACACCCTTCCGGGCCAGTTTCAGTTTTGAACTGTTGCTTATGGCGGACACTAGAAGGGAAAGCAAACAAATTTTAAAATGAGCCCCTGTGCTCTAGTGACCCGAATTCAGCCTCATGTGACTTGCAGCATTGTATTTCCTGGTATGTGGAGGCACCTGTTCAGTGGCTTTTCTGCAGGAAGCTCTAAGAAAAGACCCTGGCCAGGCAGCTGGGAGTTCCCAGGTGGAAGGTGAGGTGTTAAAAAGTTCCAAGAACTTACACAGCCATTGGAAAAACCCAAGGCAGGGAGATGCAATGAAAATGGCCTTCTGCGATATTTAAAGGCAAATAATGGAGATATGTGTTCATGTGTTTGTGTGCAGAAAGTATCTCTTTATTTATTTTTTTCTTATCAAGTTAAAAAAAAAGTTTATGTGAGCAGATAAGAGGGTTAACAAATGCACTCACATTCCAGGAACGCTAAGGAAATTTTTCCTATAAAATGCCCATTTGGTCAAAAAGCTATTTGACACTAGAAGTAGTTTCAAGAACATGAACAGACTGCTCTTCAGCCAGCTCTGCAATCTCTCTTTGCTGACTCTTGCCTTCCACTGAGCTCCCCACTGACCTCTCATGTACGCAGCCGCTCTCTTGGTCATGAGATTCCGTAGGATTCTTAAATAGTCTTCTGAGGTGTTCCCTGAAGGAAGTAACAGATTAGGTGACCACTCCTGATTTATTTAATTTTTTTTTTGCACTGTAAAATGCTGTCAGCACCTCACTTATTTTACTGTAACTGTGCTATGAACAAACTCCACAGCAGCAGCTCCAAAGCAACAAGCAGCAGCAGCTCGAACAGCGTGTAGGAGAGCTGGCTCTTACTCCTTGGCTGATAATATCTGATCTGCACAGGGAATTCATGCCATTGTATCTCGATCTGTAAACTTATAACAATCTAAAGCTCTGGTAGATCTAATCTGTTAGTAAAAAAAAAATTTATTTCTTACTCTCCTGCCTGCAAATAGAGAGTATGTACAGGGAAGCCTAATTTAAGCAAATTATTCTTGTGGTGCAACTACTGAAAGAAACTTTTAAACATTTAACTAGAACATACTTCTGAGAATGGCTCTTCGGGTGCTTTTGAAGTATTGCTCAGCTCTCTGACGGTTAAAAGGTGGATGTCACCAGGACTTTAAGTGAGGCTGTTGGGTGTTCAGACCCGAGTC